GCATCTTGAACGGGTTAAAACGTCTATCCAGAAGCGAAGCATAGAGAGCGGCAGCAGCGAGAACCAAGTAAACGGAGCAAGTGGTGTTAAACATGAGTACCGTGGGACTTCCATTGGGTTTCACGGCTACTCAGGCAGCTTCCCACCAGAGGTGCTTGAAGATATTAAGCGAGACGAGCATGTAAGTGCCGCCTTCTCTATAAACGTCTTTATAGAGCCATGTGTTGGACGCTAACATTTTCAACCAGGTTGCCTTCGTAGAGGAGGATCGGATGATTACCATCGAGCCCAGTAAACGAGAGGAGGTAGAAGAAGACACGACACCTAAAGATGGCGGCAGCAATAACCAGAAAAAGGGCCCGGGCCTGTTGTCTATGGGACAAGGGTAAGCGGCTCCTATTAATACCAGTTCGGTCAAAGATGTAGACATTGATCCTAACCGCGAATTAGGTACAACACGTTTCTGGACAAGGGAGTAATCCCTGACGCCGTCCTCCTTCCCGGTGAAAAGAAGAGAGATGTACCCGCTGCCCTGGCTGAAGTGCTGGTTAACCAAACCACAAGCATGAGGTTCAACTTCACCGCGCCCAGCGCAAACTTGACCAATGTGAACGTAACATCATACTTTACCCCGCCTGACCCAGACGAGATTATGAACGATGTTCTTGACGGCTTGGAAAATGAACAAAACGCCACTGCGCTCAACGTAATACACACCCGAGCTACTGAAGATCAACAGGATTGCACTGGCAGTCTGACGGCCTATTACAAGCTTACAGAAAGCTTTGAGTATGTTTGATCAATATGAGTTTTTTAAAGGTTCAAAACTAATATGAATCCTTGCAGTTCGTATCTCAAGGCTCTGGACGTCAGCGGCGCTGCAACAGTATCTGGTTGGGGACAGAGTGCGTCTGTATCTGGCAGTTACCTGAATCAGGCAGAGGTAGGATTTGTATAATCCTCAAAAGAGAGTAAACTAACGATAATTGTAGCTCTCCAAAGAAGGCTTGACATATATTGCCATTATCGATATTCAGAGACAGGTAGATTTGCCCACTGGATTTGAGTTCAATAAGGACAAGTACAGTGCGTCCACGTTTGCTCGGGACTTTGGCGACAGATGGATCCATGGTAAATATCCCCATTTCCTAAATGCTAAGTTTGGAATTCAGTAAAGGACTAATTGATCAGGTTTCCATACCGGTGGCAAGATGATTGCCCGGTTATCATTCAACTCGAAAGGATCCACTAGCAAGGACGACCTGAAAGTACAGTAAGTCTTTGCCATGTGTCTACCGACTAAAATCTACATAACCGGAACTAATATTCCTGTCTCCAGTGCCGAGGCTTCACTGAAGTTCTGGGGAGTTACCGGAGATATCAGTGCATCAGTCAAGAAGAGCATGGAAGAAGTGAGCAAGCACGCTGATGTAGAGATATCGCTATTTTACCAGGGAGACATGGGAAAAGTCATGGCCAAGTCAGGATCTCCTGATAAGGTTGAATCAGCCTCTGCGGAGGGATCGTTCAAGCAGGTCAAGATGTGGGCGGACCAGTTTATAAATAACGCCTGCCGACACAACTACGAGTACCGGTAAGGGAAGAGCAAGTCGATATGGAGGGCTTGGATAATAACACGTTCAACAGGCCCCTTCTCGACGAGTACAGAAACGCTGTCGGCTTCCCTTCGGACCAAAAGGTTCTTGACTACCGCACCGCGCACCGCGTCGTAAGTTGTATCGTAAAATCCATCTACGTATCTAGACTAACTCGGGATTCAGTCGTACAAGATTCTGAAGGAACTCGTCCGAATTTCGGAAATGACGCAGTATATTGTTCGCCGTAAGATGCCCTGTGTAGTTAGTCAACTACAACGTTTTCAATTCTCTAACCCTCTGGCATAGTCGAAACGCTGGACGCCGAGTTCAAAGACGAAGTCGAGTTCGCCGAGATCGAGATGGTGGAACTAAGCAGGAAATGGGTATTTCCAAACTACCTAACAAGTAATAGTCGCAAACCAAGCACTGACATACCTCATGTTAGGTTGACTCTGTTGTAGAGCGGCCGCAGAATGCACTGAGTCTAGGAAAGGAACTTATCCAAACATTCAGAGCCGAGTTCTACGACAAGTACGCGTCTGCTATAGCCCAAGACTTTTACATATCTGGCATAGAAGTACGCAATATTCTGCTCACAACACATGACTCCATTTACTAAAGTATAATAGGTGCAATATGGTGACAAACCGCCGGCGAATCGCGTCATCGACATCAACCACCAACCCGAGGATATTAATCACGACTTTGGCGGAGAGTGAGTTACAACCGAGAAAATGACCCGCTATTTGATACAAAGGCTAAATACGCTCTGGGCAGATTTGTCTGGCTTGTTCCAATCTACACTACACGCCGCGACGACGCGTGCACCTCCTTCAAGGTCGTCTTTGGCTCGGAAGGCGCCGGGCTCAAAGACCTGACCAGGAACGCACCAGGCCCCAGTCGTTATCTCAAATGCGAAAAGGACATGTCCAAGGAAAAGATTCGGCGCTTGGCGCTCCATCGGGGGGGCGAGAACCTTGAGGAATTCCTCTCAGAGACGTCTCACGGCTTCGTGGGCAAAACAACCAATATCAACGACGGCCGTGGGGATGCGTACCATGCCATGTATCTCCTGTGGGCACATGATGGCAAACGGGACCCATCTTCGAAACATCAGCCCGAATTCATAGTGCCGGTGAATTAGAAGCAGCGCCGCAGGTCAACGCTTGGCCAAGGCAGGAAGGCCAGTGGCTTCTATTCAAGCTTTTGTAGTCAAGTGTTGTATGTAATAACTTGACTTCTTAGCTGTCGTGGCTAAACTATATAGTCTTCTAAGTAGCTGTAGTAAGATATAAATATTATTTTCGTGTGCGGTCCTCGCCGCTTTTCGCCAGACCTGTAAAGATGCTCCATTTTTCCCTCACTTGCATCTATCCTCATGTCACACGGTCATAAGGGCTACAATCACGAGACCTAGGGTACAAGGCTCTCAAAGACTTCATGAATAAACCTCCCCGGCCAACTGTGGCCTGCGAACACCCAAGGGATTTTAATACCAAAGAGTGTTGTGAGATGAAGTGGGTTATTGCTCCAAGCTCTCAGTGGGCTCTTGTCACACCTCATCCTCATCACAGATAAGTGAATCTTCTTATGACGGCCTTTGGGCCACTTCTTCCTTGCAGTCGGCGTAGACAAAACCCGTAGGTAAGTATGAGCGGCAACACTGCAGTCATTTGGCCGGGGTCCAGCATGTTGCATCAACCACTCGGCTGCTTCCACGTCCTAATTGCAACCCAAATTCAGTCCATCAAGTGAGCCATACTTCTCATATGGAGTACAGGTGACCTGTCTGGTAAACATGGCCATTGTGCGATGACCGAAAATGAAGACAGCAAGATGCAAATTCCCTGTCGAAGTGTTGCCCTTAGGAATGCCAACGAACATACTCCGTAGTGGCACTGAAGTGCACACTATCCGAAACTTCTTTTGACAGAAGCTTCTCTAGCCACATTCTATGTCAAAGATGTCGTTATTGACGCTATAGTCGTACATGCAAGTGACAGGCCCAGTTCTAACCTTGGGTGCCCATCACCGGACACGATGCTTTGGCCAGTGAAGCGACGCGCGGGGTGATAGCAACCTGCCCCTTTTCTGATCTTGACGTCGCGCAGGATTTATTTTCATGGTTTGGGGGCTGTGCGGGGTGTTGACAACTTGAGTTTCCCCATATCAGTTGGTGTGACGAGGGCATGTACGCAGTACGGAGTACGAGTCTCATCTATGTTCCCAGTGGTAGCCTGCTGACAGCATAACGCAGCTTCATGTCGTGTTCGCCACAGTTCAAGCCTTCTCACTACATTGAGTGCCGCTGAGCCTATGGATAAATGCCGCAACCACGGCTAACGCGGCCTTTACATCAGCAGCCACAGTCAGTTCAACTCATGGGCATCCCAAATCTCTCGCCTGATGGTTGCCTGACGGTCGCCTCATGGTCGCCCAACGCGCCGAAATTTTATGGTTAGTGATGTTCCTTCACCTTGAAAAAAGGCTTTGAGTAGTTGTTGCGATGACGACAGTAGGGTATGATCTTGTACTATGCTAACATGATCCATATCAAAGCTGTACACTTCATGGTGCTAATCAACGTCCATTTCCTACCCTTAAATGGGAAATATAATACTCGAGTACGCTATTCGTGATGCACAGGGCACCATCCTTTGTGCTCGGATTATGTATTGAGTCTATTGACACTTCGGCGAGACTGGGTTTCTGGTGGGCGGCAGCCTGCCTTTGATTGATCAGCAGAAGAAAGCACTGCCTGCAGAAATGCGAATTACTGAGCCCGGCCAATGTTTACGAGGAAGAGGCAGCTTCATGAGCAGGGATGTAATGTGACAGGGTATGAATTAAACTCGTATTTCCGGCCATTCTTTAACCTGCAACAAGGCTATAGGAAGTGAACCTAGTACGATGATGGAGCACTCCCGCCTCATTTGCTATGCTAGAAAATGCTCTGCTTATAGCAAATGTGTTAGTTCTAGCATTCAAATGCTCACAATCTACAAAGGAAGTCGTCAAGTAATTTACAATAGAAATGCGAAATGTATACCGCAGCACAATTTTGACAAGACGACTGATGAGAATCCAGGGTCCGTTGCAGGAGACCAAGCTTCTAGTGTTCCAAGACATTATGTCTGACTTGGAGCCTTGTTGATGCCCAATGAAGGCGGACAAGGTTTCAAAGCCTGTTTTGGCACATTAAGTGTAACCCCAGAGGAAATTTCAGCAGCAACATTGCGACCAATCCTATCATTGCAGCTATCTCTGGCCTGGGAGGCCACAAATCTCATTCCCCTCCCTTTTTCCTTCTCCAAGGAGAGAGATGTCGCGGTCACATCCAACTTCAACTCCTCTATTCTTTCCCGGAGTAAATCTTACCGAGATACATTTCGAGCGATGAAAATGAGACTCGAGAGCTCAGAACTTTACACCATAGGGTGGATTACTGCTCTTCACATAGAACGTGCGGCGGCTACTGCGTTCCTAGACGATGTCCACGAGTCGCCGGAAAGGTTTCAGCAGAACGCTTCAGACCAGAATTCATATACCTGGGGTCGAATGGGCAAGCACAATATTGTCATTGTCTCACTTCCTGAAGGTGCTGACGGGACCGCTGCTGCTGCGACTACGACCTCGAAACTCCTCTCGTCTCTCCCTCAGATCCGAATCGGTCTTCTAGTGGGAATCGGTGGTGGCGTAGCTCAACCTCACAAAGGACAGGATATCCGGCTTGGGGACATCGTCGTCGGCAAACCTGAAGGAAAGTACGGAGGGGTCGTCCAGTATGATCATGGAAAAGCACTGCGAGGCCCGGCATGGCAGCGTAAAGGAATGCTGAATAAGCCCCCTGCTGTGCTCCTCCATGCGTAATCTCACCTGAAAGCACGACATGAAAGGGATGGATCGGATATTCCCCGTTTGCTCGACGAATTCTGGAAGTCAAACCCTAGGATGAAGAATGGAGCGAACGGCAACCCAGGATACGTCCATCAAGGATTTGAGCATGACCGGTTGTTTCAGTCCACTTATAATCATGTTTCAGGCAGCAGGTGCAAAGATTGCGACCAATCTCAGGAGATTAAGCGCGTTGAAAGAGAAGATGCTGACCCGAGAATTCACTACGGGCTTATTGCTTCAGGGAATACAGTAGTCAAAGATGCTGTTTTCAGGGATGAAATTTCCGAGGTTATTGGGCAGGGCTGCATGTGCTTTGAGATGGAAGCTGCCGGTCTCATGGATAGCTTTCCCTGCCTTGTGATACGAGGCATTTGCGACTACGCTGACTCGCACAAGAACGACCGGTGGCAGAGATATGCTGCTGCGACGGCGGCTGCGTTTGCAAAGGAGTTGCTCGGCTACGTTCCAACTGCACAGCTCAACGCAACACAGCGAGCTATTGAATTGCTTAGTTCAAGTTGGTTTATCCTGAAAATTGAAAATATTCGCTGCTAATGGACCTGAAGTCGATAGTAGTGTGAAAAATATCGAGTCCTGTTCGAGGCAAACAAACGAAAATGTCAAAATGGCTTTGTAAGGAAAATGACACGAGGTTCTATAGAAATGAAACATTACCTAATATTTATCAAAGAGACGATGTCCATGAAAGAAATCAAAAGCAGTTGCTTGATAGACTCCCCGTTGTTGAAGATGCCGCCTTTGACTCGCATGCCGAGGAACACAACCGTACTTGTCTGAAAGATACACGGGTCGATGTTCTGCAAGATATAGCCACATGGGCTGTTTCATCAGGTACACAGCAGATATTCTGGCTGTGTGGTATGGCAGGGACCGGCAAGTCTACCATATCACGCACTATTGCTAGGTCATTCGCCAAGCAAGGCATCCTGGGAGCTAGCTTCTTCTTCAAAAGAGGCGAAGGTGATCGAGGCAATTCATCGAAGGTTATTACGACAATTGCAGCTCAAGTGGCAGAAAAATACCCAGCCATATCTCCTCTAGTTGCGAAAGCTCTTGAGAATGACTCCAGGATTGTTCACAAAGCATTACGAGAGCAGTTCCAGGAACTTATTCTGAAACCTCTACAAACAAATTCACAGCACGTTAGGAAGAACTCCGACCCTATTGTCATTGTTATCGACGCCCTAGATGAGTGTGATTCAGCTGATGATATTGAGCTTCTTATCTTTCTGTTTTCTCGCACTGAGGGTTTACAATCCGTGCGGCTGAAAACTTTCGTTACCAGCCGTCCCGAGTTATCGACTCGTCAAACGTTTAGCCAAATGTCTGGCAAATACAACGATTTGGTATTGCATACTATCCCGCAGCCAGTGGTGGAGACTGATATATCTCTTTTTCTCCATCATGAGATCAAGGAAATCCGAGACAAATATAATGCTTCAGTATCAAATCACCGCTGCCTGGCCACGGACTGGCCAGGCCAATCTACCATCCGGACACTTATCAAAATGGCAGTCCCGCTGTTCATTTTTGCTGCTACAATTTGTCGCTTCCTTAATGACCGTAGATGCGGGAATCCAGATAAACAGCTCGAAGAAATTCTTCGTTTCGAAACACGAAGCCAAGAGTCACAACTAGATGCAACATACTTGCCTGTTCTGGATCAGCTGTGGAATGGGCTTTCCAAAAGGCAGAGAAAGAACATGCTCGAGCAATTCCGGCTCATTATTGGATCTATTATCAACCTCGCAAGTCCCTTGTCGATTTCCTCTCTAAGTGCACTCCTTGACGTCCCGAGAGCGGACATCAATGACAAATTAGACTTGTTGCATTCCGTCTTAAGCATCCCGCCGTCAGAAGATAAACCTATAAGGCTACTGCACCTGTCCTTCCGCGACTTCCTGCTAGACCCTGATAAGCAGAATAGGAATGACTTTTGGGTTAATGAGAAGCAAGCTCATAGTGTGATTGCGACAAACTGCCTTCGCGTAATGGATTGCCTTCGGCAAGATAGTTGCGATATAAAAGATGTCGGTACGCACCAGTCTACAATCAGTCGACGGAGAATAGATGATTGCCTTGCTTCAGAGGTCCAGTATGCTTGCCAATACTGGGTACATCATACACAAGAAGCGGGAACATACGCCCCCGATAGTGGAATAGTGTATCGATTTCTCACTCAGCACTTTCTCCATTGGCTGGAGGCTTTAAGTCTTCTGGGCAAGGTATCGCGAAGTATCGACTTTTTAAATGTATTGAAATCGGTCTTTAAGGCAAGTAAGCCAAGTGAGAACTCTGGCGAGCGACGCAGCTAACTTGTAATATAGGATCAGAAGAATTCAAATCTATTAGCCTTGCTCGACGATGGCCTGCGATTTTTGCTTGTAAATATTGAATGTATTCGTTCAACGCCGCTTCAGTTATATTCCTCACTTGTTGTATTTGCGCCGCAAAATAGTAAAGTCCGAGCTCTTTTTGAAAACGAAATTCCTGGCTGGATTTTACTGAAGCCCAAGACAGATGGCGATTGGACTCCATGTTTGCAAACACTTGAGGGCGTAAACAAGGCCGTCTTCTCTCACGATTCAACGTTGGTAGCTTCACTTGGGAATAATGAAAAGATTCTAGTTCAGCGGGTAAATACGAGCGAATGTGTACAGGTTTGGAATACCCAATTTGGTAATGAGTCCTCCTCGTCAGTTGTGTTGATATCCTTTTCACACGACGGGGAGCTCCTTTTGACAGTCTCTACGGCCGGGACAGTAAGAGCCTGGCGCGTAAGTACAGGAGAGTGCACGTGGACTTTTGCAACAGGCCCGTATTGCGAACCGTTATCATTCTCACATGATGCAAAGCTCCTAGCCTTATGTTTTGGAGATCGTATCGAAGTCTGGTGTGTAGAAATACGGAAATGCATTCAGACTCTCCCGGGCGGTGATGACTGGCCTCAGAGGCCATTCTTCTCACACGACTCACTGCTATTGATAACAGTCCATAGGGAAACGATTCGAACGTGGCGCATAGATACAGGCGAGTGCATACAAAAAGTTTACGTACATGATTTGGAGAGTTGGGATAGCGTTTCGTGGGATCTGGCCACTCTTTCACACGATGCAAGGCTTTTGGCTTGCCCGGCTAAGCGGGGAGGCAAAATCAATATCTGGTGTGCAAAAACGTGGAAGCTCAGACGAGTTCTTCTATGCCACATGGACGAGAGGGTCGTAACTTCTCCGCTCGCGTTCTCGCATGACTCTGCACAACTGGCCTCAGGTTCTAACGATGGCAGTATACGAGTATGGAGCGTCAATACGGGCGAGTGTATGCGCATTCTCAACGGTCATCTGGAACCCATCTTTTGGGTAGCTTTTTCGCATGACTCAACCATGATACTCTCGATTAGTACTCCTCTGGATACTATTCTACGAATCTGGCACACAAATTCGAGCGAGCGTGTGCAGGTCCTTGAACACCATAAAGGCCAAGTCCTCGGGTTGATATTCTCACCTGATTCAAGGCTAATAGTCACAAAGGCTATAAGGGACACACACATACTAGTTTGGAACACAGAAAACGGCGAGTCGCATGCATTAAGGGGTCATCAGGCCCTCATCAGGTCCGCAGTCTTCTCGCCCGACTCTGCACTGCTCGCTTCAGCCTCCGACGATGCAATATGCATCTGGAGGGCGACAACAGGCGAGTGCATACACACACTCCAGGGGCATGGTTCCTCTTTATGCTTTTCTCATGATTCGAAGCTCCTAGCCTCAGGATCCCGTGATGGAACGATACAGACTTGGCACACAGATAAAGGACAATGTATGCACACTCTTCAAGGATTACCAAATAGGAGGTATATCGGGAACATTGCGCGGCTGGTTTTCTCGAATGACTCGACACTCTTGGTATCGTCCGATTGTGAATCGGTTCTTTCATGGCGAGTTGACACAGGCAAGTTCAAAGACGTCCTGGAGACGGGTGGTAGATGGCCTGCAATAGCTCTCTCGCATGATTCACAACTGGTGGCTATTTCCAAAAAGCAATCAGGAAATGCCATAATCATTCGACGTTTGAATGCGGGCAAATGCGTGCACAGTTTCCCTATCGGCGACGGAGATATTGGCCAGTTGATCTTTTCTCACGACTCTCGACTGCTAGCTGCAATGAGTCGTGACGGAACTGCTAGAATTTGGCACATCAATACAGGCGAGTGCGTGCAATATTTCCATGTGGGGACACGCACCACAATGCTATCTTTTGGAAGAGATAGTAGGCAACTAATAACCGATCATGGCACCTTCATGCTGCAGGGCATGTCTCCTATGCGACGGGGGCTCTTGGACTCAGTCGAATGTTCCATACGTGCACAAGAGACTCCTTACTCTGTAGGAGAAGATCGTTCATGGGTCGAATTCAATGGACAGAAGTTGCTCTGGCTGCCAGTTGACTATCGCCCTGGGTGTTGGGCCGTTTCAAAATCTACTATTGTGTGGGGATGCCCGTCTGGAAAGGTTTTTCTTATCAGGTTTGCTAGGGATGAAGATTCAGAATCCCCAGGTCCAACTTTCCAGAATAAATATACCCCTGGGCAAATAAGTAGACTACTCAAATAGCTTGTCCACTGATCAGTCGCGGAAGAGTGATTCTTTGAAGAAACTAGATATACTTTTAATAATATATACAAATGTGAAAGTAAATTCCAGGGACTTTTGGGATGCGACCATCAAGTCTAGTTCTCACAAAGACCCTCACCTGCTCAAAGGAAAGCTCACCCGCGACTCAAGTTTCCTCCTGCCTTGAATGTTTCATAAATTCATGTCCTCGGTCCAGTCAACTTGTCTCATTAAGACGAGCTTAAATTAACTTGTTTCTCCCGAGGAACTTTGCCGTTTCACTCGGCATTATAAGTGCTTTCTGGCGAACAGATTCGTCCTTATCGGCGACAAGGGCTCAATAGAGGGCTTGGAGCAATAGCTCAATTCAACTAATAACAGTCTTTGGTATCAAAGGTTCTTGGTTTTCCTTAAGGCCTTAAAGGTTAAAAATATCTGTAAATATAAGAAGTTAGTAAGGGACTTTGCCCTAGGTCTCGTGACCGTAGCCCTTATATAACCAGCCATTTCCGTGCAACAAGTACTATAACTACTACTATTACCTAGGTAATAAAATAAATAACAAATTCTTAGAACATTTTTAAGCACTTTTCTCTAAGTTTATAACGTTGTTAGTCAAATTTTACTTTCACAGTCTAGTCTAGCCTATTAGAATAGCTATAACTCACTACTAACGGTTCTAGGTAAATTCTCGCCTAGACTAGCTAAGCACTCTTATCCGGTATTGCCCGGCCCCCTGTGGCCTTCACAGCTACTAGGCGGCAGGAGTCTTTGCGAGAGTCTTTTTCGAACTTTTGCTCGCGCATTGCTTGGCCTGGGCCTCTATGGCTGCATAGTCCTCATTAAGAGCTTTGGGTGGACGTGTTGGGCTGCTCAGTAGACTCGTCCTCTTTCTTAGAATCGGGGACAGGGCGTGGTTCTATCTTTAAATACTTGTCGGTCATTATCTGGTTCGCGCAGTGTCGAGCCTTAGTGTTATTAAGAGCGGCTGGGTTTCCGCAGCTCTTAAATGCATCTAGACAGAATTGTTTGTCGAATGTAGCATTGCTTGTAGTCTCCGCTACTTGGCAGTATTGATCGATGGTTAGGACGGTACATTTGTACTTAGCGCTAGCCGGTGCGGCAAGGGCATGTCCCATAAGGGAGGCGAGGCTAATAGCAGCGGCTTTCATAGTTGTCAACGTAACTTGTGTGTGTTTGTTAAAAAGAGAGTAAGGTATATAGCTAAAAGATAGTAATCTTAGTGAGAAGTAAATAATTTAAATAAGTTGAACGGCTTAAACAGAGAGGGTTTTACGTCGGCTAGTTATTTATACACAGCCGAGCCCTAAACTAATATATGCCATCCTTTAAATCTCTACTTGCTGTGTACAAAAACACGGGCTATCCTTCCCTCTATCTATGCATCTATGCACTTTAGATAGCCATGAGTCGCAAGAATATCCAAAATTGCCTTGGAAAAGCCTAATGCATAATATGAGGCGCGTGTATATCCCTGTCCGAAACCGCTCTGAGTTATGGGTTCAACATTCGTGTCATTTAATCTAGTGTCTGCCCTATTAATATCTATTATGCGCAGTGTATTTTGAAACACGGCGAGGCCTATTATAGGATGTAAGGGCGGAGGTAAAATAAATGCTATAAGTATGCATAAAAATATTATATATATAAAACTAAATAATAACTCGCTGATAATCAGGCCAGTTAGTAGAGGCATAATTAATTAGTTGGGAATAAGGGTCTGACTCGAGAGCAGTAGCAACAAGGAAGGGGCCGATATTACATAACGAGCAGAACTACCGAGTGTTCCAATAACGGCCGACTTGAACCTTTAGATCATTTGGACGAGAGGCCGGCCGTTTATTATTAGGTTCGCGATGCCGGCGAGTCGACTTAATAAGAACCCATGGGTCCGACCGCATGTCTAACTTTATTCTCATCATATAATAGGGCACATTATTGCTAGATGATACGGGGAATGTGTAATGCAAGTGCTTGATCCAGCCATAATGGACGGATTTGCAATCGCCTCTATAAAGGGACGCTTGGCTTCACATAATCGGCGTTATGCCTCTTATCTAATCCCTGCAAAAATAACCTCAAGTAGAGAAGCCAGCTTTTCTGGTTAGAATTATGCGTTAGGGGGAAATACGGGTACGTGTTTCATTTCGCCTGGAGGGAAGCCCCTAAAGGGTAAATAGTTAATTTACTACGACATGGAGGCACCTAAATATCCGGAGGGAGCGCTTATGCATCAGAATAGTCAGGCTAATGCTCTGACTCAAGCATGTTCACAATGACCCGCAAGGCGCAGCTCAGTGGGGGCTTTTTGCTATGCGCATAATAAAAGAGCCGCATGATAAGTGCCCCTGACATGTCCACTCGTTTATGCCAGTAGAGTTATTTATCCAGCATGGCTGTGTGGCGTAATCAGAGACATTAGAGACGACCACTTTTGGAAGTCAGCGGTATGGGTTCTGTATTGTACGGAGCTCGTACCGGGGCTGGCTACCGGCCGCCTTCTTGCCCGAATAATATTATCACAATAGTATAGGACAGCCTAGTCAAAACGAGAGACTCTTATTTTTTGACGTTAAGAGTGAAATAACGCTTGAAGTGTAAAGTATCCCAAGTTTCTGGAGCTTAGGAGGGGTAATAACGAATAAGAATAGTAACTTATGACATGACAAGAACCACACAATTGCCTACGCACTGGTAGTGTTAAATAGACGTATCGGTGGTGAACTACATATATAGTCTCCTCGGGTCCGGGGGAAGCGGCGACGAATCCGTCGACTTGGTAAGAGTACCGTGAGACACCGCATCTGTTCACTAGATTTGTCGAGTTTGCAAGAGCAATTTGCACAGCGAATTTGGGCACATTGATTGGGCAAAACGACAAAATTGATAATGTCTGCAGATTTTGATTGAGAACCCTGCAAACCCGGGAAATTGACCCTTTTTGTACACTGGATCCAACCCCGAAGAACCCTGTGATAGCCCTCTTCCAGGCCCCAACTTTGAAACCTAGAAAAAGCAAGCCTCATGACTGTTTGACCCTTAATTTCTAGCTTTTTGACTCAACAAGATTAATGCCTCTAGATGCCATTTGGGACGGTGCATACTGCTTGAGAAGACTAGACTTCGGTCACACAAAGAAGTACCACGAGATCCAGATCGAGGCCTTCAACCGCCACCGACTTCTTGTATATATCAGCGTCTTTTGGTCATCCAGATCTTTCAATATCAGAGACCTTTAATACTAAAGGCTGTTGTTAGATGAACCGAGCCCTTTCCATATTAGGCCTGGAGGGTTCACCGCCGTGACAAGGGCTTGGAACAATATCGCATTCAGCTAATAATTCGCGTTAATATTAACCGTCCTTGATTTTCCTCAAGGCCTTAAGGGAAAACCACTTGGGCCGCGATTTCGACCGTCCAATACCAACAATTGGATGGCTACTCATTCCCTCATAACTTGCTTGGGCTGAGCCAGGACTGCTTTGCGGTTGTGAACAGAACCGTGCCGTCTTGTCCTGCATGGTTGCCGAGATATGCCGGTTTGGAGTATGTATACCTAGTTGTCGACACTGGGTGCAGCATATTGACAAGATGTAACATAAGGGAGCAAGTCTTGAGATGCTTCCCAGCGAGCAACGTACTTTGTTGTGCGAGAGCTCCTGTCAGAATGACTTGCAAAGTCTGACAAGTTCCATCTCGGGAGCATGCACTGAATCTTCCGACGTCATGATTCCCGACAAGTTCACCTGCGCAGGTGAGTCCTCAATTCGATACCAGCCCTGGAGCGATTGACCAACTATCTAATATTTTGTCAACTTTCCTAGTTCACCATTTTCTTTACGCGGCGAGTCTGCCATGTCTGAAAGACAAGTGAGTCTCCTCATACTTAGTTAATCCCCGCCCTTTGCTGAAATTGACCCTGGGGGCGTCCGGAAAATATTGCGACGCTGTTGTGGCTGATTGGGCCAACCAGCCGAATTACACCAAGCTCAGACGTGTTTTCAGTGCGAGATGGGCGTTCAGCAGATACAGCTGGCATCACTGTTTGGGTTCAGCGACACGCTTCAACCAGGCATTTACTTGGCCAACCATACTTAGCACTCTGTTGTCAAGGTCGAGGCTGGCAACTATTGCGCTGCCATGCGACTACTACGTACCCGTGAACCGCATGCGGATACAAGTCTCGTCAGTTCAGCCTACGGGTTGTAGCTGCTACAAAAGCTTCCGCTTCCAGGACAAGGGTTGGATAACTTCTTCCGCGATTGTCTGGCCAGTGTTTGCATGCTGACTTTTCCTGCAGCCAACTTTCAACTACTCCATGGCTCCCGGTCTGTTCGGCATCACGGTGGCGGAACCAACCAGACTGAATCCCTGGATTGGATCCAACTGCGATACCTGACTCGAGTGGTCCGGAAGGAGTTGGTAGTGTGGACCTTGCGATCATTCCATGCGGCAGAAGGAATGGACAGGCCTGTCGTATTTCCGTAAATATTCCGTAGGTGCTACAGTAGGAGCTAGAGCGGAAGCTCAACCGCAGCTTAAGCCATCTGCCTCCAATGTCCTACAAATTCACCCTCGTCCTCGGTTCCGTCAATGTAAGGGGGTCTCACATACTGGTCGTCCCAGTCGCCTTTTCCGAGCAAGTCATACTTGTAAAGGTATTCCTGCAGTGGCATGTACATCCAGCCCACATCTTCCTCGTGGTACTCTGTGGCACCATCATGGAACGGCGCGGGAACTGTATAGTTCCTCTCCTGTGGGGGGAATGGGGACTCCCAGTTCTTGCGCAAAAGCTTCACAACTGGCGAGTTGACACCGGCATGGTCCACGGACTCGAGGCAGACATCATCCACAAAGAGACAATATTCGTATCTAGGCGTGGATGTTGCGTGTGACCAGTCCACGTCGTTCTGCGGGTGAGTAGCGTCCGGCCAGAGACGGTCCTCCAGGTTCTTTGGGACCCAGGACTGGAAGTGATCTCGGACTTGAGAAGACGTGGCTCCGCTAAGGACAGCTGTTAGTGGTGGCAGAGGTAACATGGACGCGTTGCAAAACGTACTAGAGTGTCTTATCGTCGATGGCGTGAAGATGATGGAATTTCAACACATCTTGGCGCATGTAGAACCTGGCATCTTCCTGGACCTTTCTGCGCAAGGCTTGCAGCAGGCGATCCCAAGCTGTCTGCTTGCCTTGAGAGCACCGATATATCTAGACGTTGTTCGTTTAGACCATGTTAAGAGGAGAGTGAGGAGTATGTCTTACCACGAAACCCCAGATCGAATCGTGAAACTTGGTGCACGTCATGGTCGATTTAATGTGGTCAAAGTCGATGTCCGGGCTCGACGTGTAATCAAGGTAGGTTTCGGTCCCGGAGATGCGACAAGGTCCTGCCGGGCTACTGCTCATCATGGCTCGAGGACGACAAATGCAATCAGCTTCGCCCCGCCCTGTTGCTGCATGGCGCGCCGTGTGTGTGAAGGTTGTGAATGGCGACTTTGAACGATTCCAGGCGGCGCGAGAGACCTGTCGCAAGGCTCTGCCTCTAGTTGCGGTGCGTTGCAACATGGAAGGATTGGGGGCATCGAGGGGCGAATGAGGTCTGGTTGTGTGAGAAAGGGGGTGGAAATGAAGGAAAAGGCGAAGTCCTGTGAGGTTGTTGGTCACCTGACTTCTGGCTCTCTATCAGGCAAATTCAATCCCCGTCTGCGTAATCACGGCCAGTAATCGCTTACCAATAAAAGCACATGCATACTTGCTTGGAAGAATATTTTGTGACTGGAGCAGGTACTGAGAGATAAGCGACTGGTACTTATCGAGGACTAGTAAGACAGCTCAAGACAGACGTAAAAAGCCTACACATATTGTAGGTCAATCGTCGCCCGATTAGAGGTGTCTAAGTACAAATCTCCTCATATACGGCAAAATTAATTCATTTATATATAATCTCACAAATCTTTTTTCAAGTTCCTAATAGACACTCGAGCTGAATATTTCTAGTTAAAGCACTAGAGCATTTCCAATAGACCATCTCGCTCCAACTCTAATAGCACCAATATTGGCCTACAAACTTAATTGCTTACCAAGAAAAGGGCCTGGCAAAGCCATAACTTGAACATCCTGTCTCACAAAGGGTTTGTACCAGAAATTCTCAGCTCCAATGCAGAGCAGTCAAAGTCTATTGCCACGCTGAATAGTTATTTCATTTATACTTTTTTGGCAATCGTCCAGCTGAAAAACGTAAATAAAACAAGGTAGAGCTTTCTTTTCCCCCATGCTTCTGAGTTTGCAGTCAAACGACACGTGGCGCTAAGCATGGTGGAGGTAAGCGCCAAGGCGTCGTAGTTAAGCTTTCATCCATGTGCGACCATTATAGAGTATAGTTTTTGCTTGGAAAAATAAGCAGCCATTGTAAATAAAAGTCTGTATAGGCATCTATGTCTGTGTGCTTGTTTTTATCGTGACGCACTCTTCCCGACGCTAATTTCTCGCATTCGACCCTTCTCTAATGACAAGAAGGTATATCTCGACTAGTAATTACACGAGTGTATATCGGAACTTCAACCGTAGGAGAGGCAACTTTCGTGAAGCCACTCAACAGCTAACTCTGCAGCCTCCGTCTTGTAACGCCAATGATTTCTCAGAAAGAAGGACATGGTTCTGGTGGCAACATAATTATGAACTGGTAATAAAATATACAAGTTTCGCTTATGAGCAAACCATATAACATAGCTGTCACAATCTTCGTAGTAAACAGGACCACTTGCGAAAGGGTTATGCTCTGCATGCGGCTATAAATACTCATTAATTGTAATGCTGGCGTTAGCATGTTATTCAGCTTTACTGATTTCGGACATAGGCTTGCCGTGGCTAGAGTATTCCTGTCAAATACACCACCACCATCACATCCGCAGCCCCGGTATAGCTCTTGCATCGGGAATTCGATGTCGAGGCACTTGCAACTTGAGTTTAACGTGCAAGAATGATGAAAGCTACTAATATCTAGCGTAACCTCATCCCATACAAGTTGCTAGCCAAGTTCCCCAAACTTCAAGACGCTAACACGACCTTTGTTCCCCCTGCCAGACTCTACCTAACAAGCATAGCACCTCAGGTTATAAAGTAAAACAATCTGCCAGGTAAACGCCGGCCACTGCAATCGACTAGAGCATGATCTACACTAGCCCGGCCCCGACTGCTGCCCCCGTTATCACTCCTGGGGTCCTTAAACGTGATAATCCTTCAAAAACTTGTGCATATATCAATGGCCAATCTGACTCTGGTGCGTAGTAGTTTTGTTTTCCACTGATCCCTATTCTCATAGTCCGCGCAGCTAACTCTCTCTAGCAAAATCAAGCTTGGTCACTTGTCCCGGAGACGGAGGAGCCACATGCTATACGGAGCACAGCGTAAGCGCCATATACTGCTGCTCTAGAACGAGTTGCCGTATCGCAACATCATGTGTACCATACAACTCACCGCTTACGTCCGGGGCAGATAGCCTCAGGACATTATATTGGTGAGTAATGGCTCCCGAAACGCACTTATCTAGCCTTTGTAACTCCTAATACCATAAACGATAGTTCAAGCTTAACGGCCCCTGAATGCGTGACCTTTCAAATTGCTGCCGACGACAGCTACAGTGGATACTCCATTATGGGATGTGGTCCTTCCAAAAAAACGTACATTGTCTACCCGACCACTACTGGGCAGTCAACGTCAACTACAATAACTTCAGAGACAAGTTCCACGTCGACGACTTCCATGACGACGACGCCGCCGCCTCTGCCTCTACCATCGCCATCCACGCCAGTAGGTGCCATTGTAGGAGGAGTCGTGGGAGGAATTGGTAAGAGCACCTATTAGGATCGATAAATAATAATAAGCTGACATCTTGTTTCTAGCCGCTTTGGCTTTGATCGGACTCGCAGGCTTCTTCCTAGTTCAGCAAAAGAAGAAAAAGGCCTCAGGCCCTATTCAACAGCCAATCGTTTCCCAATATTATCCTCTTCATATGGATCGAGCATCACAGGGGGGTGGTCCAGATTATGACCAAACGCATCGTTCTAGTGTAGCCAGATCACCCATGAATTTTGCGACTGGGTCAACTTCCCCAGAATACCAATCTCAACCGGTGTTCGCGGGGACTAATAAATTGATGACATCGGCACCGGGTTATACTTCTGGCTATAACATCGGCCAGCCTGTTGAGATGCAAGGCCAGCAGAGTTTGTAGTTTGTCTGCAGATCGCGGCCCGTCTGTCTCCTGTGAAATGCCTAATGTAACGTAGGCAAGGCCGACGACGGGAGATGACTGAAAACTCTGCGGTATGAAGCATAGGATAGTATGGAGATTTGTTTCTAGTTAGTAGCGCTCGTAAGTTCTGGGAAACGGAGGGCACTACGAAATGCTAATATGTAGAGTAATATTATTGCAACAAATTGAAGATATGTCTCTCCCTTAAGCCTGCGTATGCGATTGGCCCAAATAGACAACTCGACACAGACCTGCAGGGATTTTCCAGGTCACCTAAAGTCAACACAAACATAAAATCCGCAAACGGGGGCATGAAGTGGCCCCCCTTGAGGTCTACATGAAAGCAGTATCTGGTACATAACCATAATAGTTGAATCTAATTATCATACTACTCGTGCTGCATATACCCAAACCATCTAGGACGCTATATATCTTCACCAAGGGGCCTAGAATGTGTACTCTTGTACTCCTGCGTTTCGAAAGGCTTGAAACATCAAGCAGTGGTGTGACGGCATAAACCACGTAGTCAAGTCCCATTCTCCAACCCCCCTTGCTGCTTTGTACAGGTTTCTGGGTATCTGTCCCGGTACCTCTTCCACCACTGGGTATTTGACCTCTGAGGCATCAGCCCCCAACTGACCATTGACTGCTCTTCCGCTTCTGACATTGCCATCCTAGCATATGCAGGGCCACGAGACCATGACGGATCACCCATTTCTACCTCAAGCCAAAGCCTCTTACCAATGGCTTCTCGCCGGTCCCCCACATGGATCGCCGTTAAATAAGTGCTGCTTAAAAGTGCCACAATGGATAGTATCTGGTTGAATAGAGTGGTCATACCCAAGGAGACGGCGTGTGTACCGAAAGCTCCCCAGGCCGCAGCCCTCCAAAAAAAGTAAATCTTGGGGTGTAGAGGATGAGGGTCTGTCAGTATGACGCCCACTAAAACCTGACGCGGCCCCAGTATCGTTACTGCTTTGCCATTCGGGAGAGTGAGAAACACCTTTACGTCTGGCCCCGGGTTGTCGGCCAAGTCTTCCATTGCCTTGTTGACTGACGAACGCAGCATGAGAACCATTTGTTGTCTTATGAGCACATTCAAGCAAAGAGCGGTAACGTTCGCTACCCCCCACCAGTCTGCTGTCATTATGGTCATGATGAGAAGGAGTCCGCAGGTAAATAGTCCGATCAGGAGCGAGCATATTGTGCGTGCGGTCGGTACGGGTTTGCCATTCGTCTTCAAGTGGATTGTTGTGGCACTGTATGTTATGGGATAAGATGTTAACCAGCGAGTGAACCAACTGGACACGTCCGTTGCCATGATACCGTCGGTGATGTTATACAGAACAAAGCCCTGTTCCGGTTCTGCAATCTCGTTGTTGGCGACAGCATAGGATCCCAAAATCGGGAGCCACTCGGTGAACTTGCTTTCTGTGAGGTTGCCAATAGACGTGTTCATCTCCTTGGCCCCAAAGAGAGTCACTAGACCAAGAGCGTCCAGCTTGAAAGGATCCCATTGTGAAAGACTTAGAATGGCCATCGTTTCCACACAAGTTGGAAAGGGGTTTCAGAAAGAACAAGAGTAGAGCCTGCGGGCGCTGAAGCCGACAAGAAGCCTGGTGTCGTAGTTGGAGAAGATGGAGAGGGGGGGTCGAAACTGTGGGCAGCCTGGGAGACACACACGAATGTTTATGCACCAATATTATTAGCTACTTCATCTCAACTCTCATGTTGTGTCTCTCGTGTTGTGCAACCCTGGCCGAATCACTCAACCGGCCAGTGTGACGAGACGTGACAGCTCATCCTGCATAAGATAGATACACAACATGACCCTGTCCTTTAATTTCCGGTCTATGTGGTAATACAAAAAGTCCTAGGTCGCAGGACAAAAATAGCAAAGAGCCCAACACAGCCGCAACCCAATTTCGACCCAGGATCTGGCGTCTCGCCGTTCATTCCCTTCATTCTAGCTCAGATCTTCCGGTCATTCTATATTAGCTACACTTTAACTTTCTGTTTGTTTCGGATCATGATTCAACTTTGAGCACAAAGATTGCCTTGATATTCTTATCGGAGTGCATCTGGCCCCTTATTCTGCACCATGTCCACAACTCCACAAACAATGAAGCTCCCGCTGGGGCGTATAAGGGATTCATGCGATCCTGGCTCCTTTTTTTTGAGGCCGAGCTCAACCACACAGGATGCTTTGATGTCATTATTTACCCACATATTAAAAATATTCAAGCATCGCAAAATCTTTGAGGATGCCCCTTCGTTCTTCGTCGTCTACGCATGGGATCAAAAAAGCCACCCTGGTCTTCCTGCGGACTCGAGTATAGTTCATGAAATGATTCAATGGTTTGAAGATGCTGGCTACAGTACTATGTACTCGGATAGCACCCCGCCGAGCGAGAAGGCCGTTATTGATGGCCAGCTTCGTTTATTGCCCATTGCGGCTTACCCCGATTCCGTTCAAAATGTCATCCTATGTGGCTCTAAACTCCTGGGACACTACATGGCAGGGAGGTACTTCAAAAAATATGCTTCAAAGATCATACGGACGTACCACGAAGCCCGCCAGAACGAGACAAAAATTCCTATATCACAAATTCTTCGTGGTGTCCAGCAACAGTACGAGAGAACGGCATCAAGGAAGTTTCATCACGTTATGACGGAGTTAGCCCTACTTGACATCCGAAACGCGTACAATGAAAAAAGTACAGTTATTCCTTACCTCCTCAATGGAGACCCCCAATCCTGCCTACCGAAGTACATCACGATCGGAAGCGATAACCTTCGAGTGCAACGCGGTGTCGATGGATCGAAGTATGAGTGTTTCTTCGAAATATTAGGGAAGCTCGTAGGTTCATCAAACCGCAAGTTTGACCCAGGGCCGCAGCATTTGATACCATCCATGATTGAAATCTATAAAAGAGCGGCTACTGAATTGACTGATATGGACCGTGTCCCTGAAGGGTTTCTTGAAAGGTATCAAAGTGAAGCGAACAAAGCTTCTGATGATTTTTCAAGTGCTCAGAGGCAAAACCCGAAAGGCATAGGGGTTTCTGCTGTGAGGGAGGCACTGGACGCTTACCATTCAAACATCATGTCTATCGAAAGGGTGTTTGGAGAGACACTGCCGTTACGCAAACACCACATCATACTAGCCAAGATTTTCGATTCTACCGAGTCAGACACATTCTCTGATGAATCTACTTACATCCGCCTGAATAATATTTTCAATGACACAAAGCTAAAGGGGGGGAGTGTCGGACGGCCAAAGCGCATACTCATCCACGGTCGCCCAGGGGTGGGCAAGACCACTCTATGCAAGCAAATAATAGACGAGTATGGCAGAAAAGAAGTTCTTGGAACCATGTTTTCCTGGGTTCTCTGGGTGCCCTTACGAAAGCTGGGGTTGGATGATTCACTCAAGAGCTTCTTCCGTTCAGAATACTTCCACGGCAAACTTCACGAAGATCTGCTGGCAGAAAAGCTTTATCAGCAGGTATTTGGGGAAGATAAAGAAAAGACCCTGCTTATCCTTGACGGGTTAGATGAGTCAAGTGGATGGGAAGAGCGCAACATCAGTGAATTGGCCCAATTCAAAAGTATTATCTTCACAACACGTTCCGGTAGGGGGAAGGCTGGCTCAGCGGTTTACACTATTGCCGACCTCGAACTTGAAGCTATGGGATTCAGTCAGAGGGAGGCATTGAATTATATTGACTCCCACATCGGCATAAAACCTCTGGAGACTGTCAATGATATCTGGTTCTTTGCTACAAGCCCGCCTGGTTTTGACTTAGCTCAAATACCGATCTGCCTAGATATCCTGTGCTCGAGCTGGGACGATGTGCGTCTGGCGACGCCATCGAATGAAATCATTAAATTATCCGTTTTATATGAAGTCGTTGTTGCTAGGCTCTGGCGGCGAGACATTCTTCGCCTCGGAAAGCGTGACCCGTCTACCGGTTCCGTTATGACAAAAGACATTCTTGACGCCGTTCGAGATTTCAGTCGCTTACACCGTCTTATCTACAAGGAAATGGCTTTCCTCGAAGCCCTTGCCATATCTTTGACCAGAGAGGGTAAGATCGATTTCGGCCATGATGAGATCACCGCCACTATTCGTCAGGTGGAGCGCGATACTATGCTGTTGCCACTATCTCTTGAGTATGACCTGCGAAATCTCTCATTTCTGCACTCGGATGGCTGTGGTGGGTACAGTTTCATTCACCGGACATTTCAAGAGTATTTCGCTGCCCTCTGGATCTCTCATAATGGACCGTCGTTACGTGGGTATTTGGCAAGTCATGTTAAATATGCCCCTGCATTTGAGAGAATTTGGCAATTCATTGCAGGCTCTATACAAACCAAAGAGGCCCTGGAGGAATTTTTTGACTTGATTGAATCGGAACCACGAGACCTCCTCGGTCCTGCTCATCAATGGCTACTTCTGTGTTGCTTCAATGAAGTGCGCCATTCGCTGCGGCTACCGACTTGCATTAAGGTTATACACAGATTGGCCCGCTGGATGGAATTCGAATGCGAGATCTCAACAAATTCCTTCCTTAAACACTGCGGTGAGTATCCAGATGAAGTAATCGAAATCTTCCTGAGCAACTCTACATCAAGATGTGTCCGGCGCATTCTCAACAGTGTTGGCGGTATGTATTTGTCGCCAATGATGATCGAGCTTCTCATCAAAAGGGTTAATAGTGAGAGCCTGGATGCTCATGCTTTTGCTCTTGGACTTTTATATACCCAGAAACAACGGTTTTCACTGGAGTCTTCTCAAAAGCTCATCCTCAGATTAGCGAAAAGAGATGATGACACTGGGTATAGTAGCACCTCTACGCTACACAAACTGTCCGATTCATCAGTTGTAATAGCCAAAAGTTTACTTTACATATTCAAATACCCACATGAATTGAGTCAAGACATCACTGTCTGTCACCTATTCAGCTTATGCGTATTCTTGAATAAAAAGGTAGATAGCTTCTTAGCGGCGACATTGTCAGGTTGTATGACTCTTCTTGAGGATAAGGATGAAGCTATTCCAGTACGGATCGCCGCAGCGGACATGCTGCAGTCAAATTGTTGTTTGTCAGATGAAACTGTTAAAAGCCTGGCAGAAATGCTTCGAGACTCAAACAAAACAGTTCGATACTCTGTCATCCGTGCCATGAGATGTCAACATTCCTTTTCAGTGGATACCATTGAAATCCTCACAACTATCATGAAGGATGATGACGAAGATGCCCGACACGCAGCAACGCTTGTTTATTACAGCTACTCAACATTTTCAGGGTCGGATATTGCAGCTCTGGTGGCTCTGGTCTGGGATTCAAATGCCAGTATTCAGAGTACGGCTGCTGTGGCTCTAGGGGGGTTGTCAAGCATACCAGACGATGCCGTTGCAGCCCTCGTCAGTCTGCACAATCATCATAATAAGGATATCCGGGCTTCCACTGCGAAGGCGTTAGGCAAATATTTGCAAAGGATGTGGTTAACCCGATCGCAACCCTCTGGGGATGTTGAAGCAGCACTTATCATCTTACTCGAAGATCCAGTAGATTTTGTTCGAATGGAGGCGGTTTGGGCGTTAGGCAGCACCAACAACTTATCACAGAAGACTACCGCGGTCCTCAAGTCCAAAATTTTGGGTGAACCAAATATCAAGAAAGCCGACATTATGGAAGTCTTTATTAGACAGCTGAAGCCCAACTTCACGTTCGCCGAACTTGTGGCTTTATTAAAGATTATACCTGACGATTATAGGAGTACTCTTTACATCCTCCCTTTCCTTTTTCATTCAGAGGAAGTATGGCGGCATAAGACAAGGTCGCTTCTGGCCCAAATCGGAATCCATGATCCGATCACTGTTACAAGCTTTGGACAGACTGGTTGGCCAGACTACATACATGAAGTTGTCTTGAATCTTTGTATGAAGTATAAAAGCCTTGGAGAAGAGTTTTGGTACAAATTTCAAGCACCTCTTCATTGTCAAATCAGCCTATCACGAGCGAATATGCAGGGAGTTCTGAGGGTACTGCAGGATTCTTCTGGATTTGGATCCCGAATTTTACAGGCTGAAATATTAGCACAACTGTCAACTTGGCCTAACGATGTTGTCGAAGCCGTAATGGAATACTTTCAGGATAAGGAACATCTACATGACTTTTGTTATTGTGCAGCTACCAACAACCGAGAGTTGTTAAACAAGCTACTTTCAGCCGCGGGACTATTATCGGAGGCCGAAGAAAGAGACACACCGGAGAGAAAGTCTGTTCTTAACCCCTATATTCTTAAATCCATATATGGAGTTTTATTATTGCGCGGTTTTAATGAGCAACTCATCTTATTCATCGACCACGAACACGGCGAATGTGTGCTCTATGATCAGGGTATACCCAGGACAGCATGGCTAGAAGAAACACTCGGAACAGCATCAATAGAAGAAAGAAGACAGCACTGTTCATATTATACCGCAATTCGTGAGATTCGAGAACGCTGGAACCCAAGAGGTCTTGACCTGTGGGATTGATCTCAAGACACGTCAAGATACCCGAGATACTCAGTAGTATTGACGCACGATTGTCTAAGTCCCCACGAAACTACGAAGCAGAAGATGAGTCCCGGCCAGATCGACCAAATTTCGACTTAAGTTAGGAGAATATAAACATTGTGAAGGGATTATTGTTGATTCAGACCGTCTCTCTCCTTGGGTTGGTGTTCTATCAAGTTGATTATTTGTTTTCCTTATACTCTTATCAAGTCCTACCTGCTTCTAAATCCTATTTTCTCTATTCACACTCGAGTATAAGTATTTCTTTAGTTTCCTATGTCTGTGATGAACCTCTCCTAGCGTTAAGTCTATATTTGCAAGAAGACCTCATTACTTTGGTCAGCACACTAAAATACAATGCAGAGACATCATTGCACCTCTTCATGTTGAGCACGTGAATTATGTCATTTCTGGGTTTTAGAGATGGCCCGTTGTCCGCAACCCAGACTCATAGCACATCTTCAACCAAGTCGTTTTCTGTGACAAGGGGACGATTAGTCAGCTTGGAACGTGAAGGTTCAATTCAAGAATAATCTCGTAGGATATCAAAGGTCCTGAGTTGCTAGAAGGAAGGAAGGGAAAGGTGACAGCTTTATATACATAAAAGGAACGCTTAGGCCACTGGCTCTTGCCCGGGCAAGTGTTCTGGTTGTGTCACCACCAAGTCCTAGATCGGCGAGCCCCTTTGTTGGCCTTCGTGATCTGTTGGGCTTTTCCCGTGTAACATTTTCCGTCTCTTCCGCGAAGCCTCGCGACAGTCTTGATTCGATCCCTTCACGGCAGCGACAGGCAGCACAGCTTGCGAATCGAAGACACTCCAAGGGGTGTTCTATTCCCCGCCACTTAGTTTGTTGTTGGTTTCGAACGGAATGGGATGGTGGTAAGCGGATATCCTCCTATAATGTGTCAGACGAGGCGAGTCTAATGAAATTAGGGACAATGCCTATTGAACGGCACTGGACTTCATACTCTCTAGTAAAAACACATAAAGAAAACTCGACGAAACTATGACAAGACAAAAAATACCCTGGTGATATTCACATTCACCTGTTTTATTCCTTCCGACGGAATATCCATTCAACGACCGGCTGCCAAGATAGCCGCCGTTTTACAAAGTAGCATTATCAACATGACCTAGTCGATTTCCCTTGTACTTTCTAACCCTAGGCCTCGCAGAACGCCATAAGGAGACAGCAACTTTGAGTTCCTCATACCAAGGGCATCATTCCGACGCCGTTACAAGCCATTTATCCGTAACACGCAATATTCTCCGTCGCGTAATACCAGTTCGCCGTGTCTTCATTTCCATTTCCCTTGTATCCTGCGCAAGTCTCCCGTTTACATCGCCATCCCGAACTCCACGGCACCAGCATCCTTCTGCTCCTTCGTAGCGTCGAAAACCAAGTTGACCTTTTCGACACTCACGCAACCAGCCTGTTCAAGAAGAGACGTAAGCAACCGGCCAACAAGCATACTCGGACACGGAAAATACTCACATCCACCAGGAGGCTCGCCTAATCTTCAGCATCGACCAAGGTCCATCATTTCCAATTTTCTGCTTAGAGCCTCTGTAGACTTGGAGCTCCAGCGCGGCCTTGATCCCAGGGTCGAACCCGTCGAAATTCGCAGCCCTCGCTTTCCGCACCGTCCCATTTTCGCTGTCTGGAATTGGTACTCAGGTTCAGATCGCTTCATGGCGTGTCGCCGTTCCGGGACGTAGTGATTGTTACTGATTCCGCTCGACGCGCTCACCCTCTCTCGCAGGGCGTCACGTAGCTCCAGAATCCGCCAATACCTCTCCTTGGCGGCCATTAGGAAGTTCATGTATATGTCATAGTCCAGCATAATGTCTTTGTCGAAAAACTCGGTGAAATCGTCAGGTCCAAGCGCACGACACCGATCCAGCACTTCTGCCTGGTGTACGAGTCGCCATGCTTTCTCGTCGTCAGTCCCGCGGAGAGCTGTCTCGACAGCCACTATGAAGAGACCGGTGGACTCGAACTCGTCAAGGATTTCCGGGTGTGAGGAAATATAGTCACGACTGGCGTGGCAGCCGAGGGGTAGGATATTGGCAAACTCCATGGCGGCTGCGGAGGGTGAATCTTGACCTTTGTGTTTTGGGAAGAGCGCCTCGATGCCGTTGCGGGTGTCTGGTGCGGCGGTTGTTTGATTCGGGTCACGATTCGGGATCAGTAGCTCTGGTTTGGCTGCCTCGCCCGGCTTCGCCTCGCTGGCATGTGGGCTGTCAAGTGGTATGAAGTAGTTTTCCTTCCTCGTCTTCCTACAATGCTCATTTTTTGACCTGTTCATATCGTTGACTAGTTGAGTTCGGAATTCCCGAATCAATCCATCATGACGAAAAAGATCTTCGTGAGGCTCATATTTGTCCATGTTCTTTTCATCCGGACTCTTTTCCATAAGTTCCAAACAACTCAGAATCACCCTTGACGTGATGGACAGAAACTGGCTCTTGTCAAGTGCTCCTTCAGACCACGGCAATCGACCATCCTCGCCGGGTTTGCACGGCGCCAAGTTGGCGACGGCCTGGAATGCAGTTTGAGCCCAGTTATGGATTCGGGTCTCCTGGATCTCCAGCTCCGAGGAGACAAAAGCTTCCCAGTATTTCATAAGTATGTCGTTGATGGCACGTTCGTCTTTCAGCGCGTCGATCTGCTTCATCCGTCCTCGTCGATCTTGGTCAATCTTTGCCTGCATCTCTCGCATCGCTCTTCGAAAAGAGGGCGAATCCATACGAAGATCGACATTAATTTGGGTGTAGTTGCTTACTTCCCACTCGTCCTGTCATACCAGGAGTTAGCATTCGCGCCATACCATACAGTTGGCCAAGGACATACCCGTTCCTTGTCGTCGTCCATTTTCGTATCGTGGATGGCTGTTAGCGATATGGAAGAAGAGGGTTCACTATGAATAGCGAGTTGGGCATAAAGCTCGGTGGAGAAAGACAATGTGTCGAGGAAAAAGATTAGAAATGGACCGTGGCCGCGCCACGGTCTTTTCAATGTTGTGCCGCCCTGCATCCTGGTTGTCACAAGCCAAGAACACAAGCTAGACAGCTAATGAACAGAGTCTGGAGAGAAGGTCATCTCTTTGTGAACACACGTGATAGCCGCCATGGCGGTGCCGTCCAGTGGTCAAAGCCTTTGTTCGCCCAACGCCTCTGTGGCCCAACCGCGTGACAACTGCAAAGAAAGAGCAGTGAATCCCAGAGGCAAATACTGCAATCAAGGGAGACTCGACTGTTCTTCTGCGAGTGACAGCCAATGAAGGTGTCTGGACCTGGGAAGAGTTCAGTTTAGTTGGCGGCTTTATCCGACGGCTTAGATTGCCCAATCATATCAAATTTTAACATGAAGAATTATTCGATTGCGGAGAGCGGAGCCCGAGTTTTTCCCCATTAATACAAAGGGGGCCAAACCAGCTGCTCCAGCTTGCAGCTTTGCCTCTGCAAACTAATATACGAGGTCATCCCCAAGCATCAAATTGGTTAGGATGAAGGCCTTCTCGAGAACTGATCAATACAGGGGGAGCTTCGGTTCACTCAGGTGCAAGTGCATCGTGAACCGTGAGTATTCGACAGAATTGTACATATCCCTGTGGATTATCGCGGCTCTCTACGCTTTCTCTACCCCTACGTCCACACGTCGTTGGCATCGGGGTCTTGCGAAGAGGCATCTACTCTAGGCGTATTTGCAACCAGAATCCCAGAATAACCCAGGGCGTTGCTTCAATGTTGGATTGTCTGAATTCCTGGGTATACAGTAGTCTGTTCCAATCATGTGTTGGTCCGCTGCCGGCAGTCCCTCGATTTATGGCGCTTCACATTCTGCAAGGATCAGCATCCTGCCAACACCATCCTCAGACCCAGAAGCTGTCACAAAGCATATTGTCAGAATCCCGTCATACTTGTCGCTAATCTGGCGCCGAGGGTTGTCCGGAATCAGTGTCTCAGTGGGTGATTCTTCTCCAGAACGTGCCGAGTTGAATGCCAGCATGTTGGTCAAACCGTCATGCTATTTCAAGCGCACCAATACTTTCAGCTTCTGAACATTTGATTGGCATGCAGCACTCATGAATCGCCCAACGAGGATACAAGCTAGCTGTCGGAGCAGATGCAGATTCAGCGTTCCCACTTCATAGCCACTCTCCATGTCCCATATTTGGATGGGACAAATCTACCGAACCTGACGCCAAGCGAGACCCGTTCGGTGAGAATGCAATACATGGCATATACCCGCAGTACCGTCTTCTTTCCACTTTAGTTCACCAGTTCCAACATCCCGCATGTGCGGGCGATGTTGGGTTCTGGTCCATGCGCCAGATATTTGTACCCCCAGGAATATGAGCCTGCCCTGAGCCTTTCTTTAACGGCGTCTGGTGAGGCATCTGAAGTGTGACAAGGGCCAGATACAAGGGCTTGGAGCGTAGATGACTCTATTCGAGATAATCTTGTAGAATGTCAAAGGTCCTTGGTTTTCCAGAAGGAGGTAGGGACGAGTGACCACTATATATACATGAAGCGAACAGCTGTGCCCAAGGCTTCCGGCGGGTCATGTGTTTAGTCTGCGTGACCTCGAGGTCCTTTGTCGGCGATGCCCCTTTGTTGGGCCGTTGTTGGGCCCTTAGAACTATTGCACTTCTCAGCTTCGTTCCCGAACAAGACCCAAAAAACTGCCACCGCAGCAGCGAACACGGCAAACTCGGTGCTGGAATGTGGGGTGGATCTGCACCGTTTCGGTGCTTCATTTACAAACTGCTCGGTGTTTGGATACTGAACGGACGTGCGGCGTTCCGTCTTTTCGAAAAGGCTACTCGGCAACCCGCCTCAGTGCGCGACAACGACCCAAAGTAAGGCTTCAGACTCTCTAGTTGTCCAAGCTGACTTTAGCGGCAGGTCTTGCTTCTTTTCTGAGTTGTCTCGGCGTTGTATCTTCCATATTTGCTACTATTTCTGGTATCAACTTGAACAAGCTTGTTCTGCTTGCTTCCAGTGCCTCGGTAGCCGATTCCGGTGCAAGGGGCCCCAACAAGGGCAGGGACCAGGAGGCGGCAACACCTGCAGTATCGCGGCATTTGATGAGCGGGGTCTTTTGTGGTGTTGAGCCCATTTTCAACTCAAGGGAGCCTGGGAAAGGCCATGTCAGAAAGCACAGCCACGACGGCAGGCGGCATCTTGTCCTAATCAAGGTACCTTGAGTCGCTAGAAATGTGGTTTGATTACAAAAGGCTTATACATGTCATGGTGATAATACCTGCCTGTTTCGGGAAGCTCATGGTGGTATCTTGTTAGGAGCTCAGAGTTGGTTGAACAACAATAACAACGACACCTCTATGTCCAATTTACGTTTTCTAATTTTAGACCAGGACACAAGTGTTTCCTGCGGGATTCAATACAAATCAAAAAGGTATGCACTATCCGAGCCGTCTCCAAAGGACATCACCAGTTTCCCAGTCGGCAAACATGTAAAAAGTTTTTCTGTCGAGCTCTGTTATTGGACCGTCTCGTCGTACGTCAACTGAGGCGGAGCAACCAACTAAGTCTACAGTCTGTTCATGCCGTTGGCGGTTTATTGGACTATATAATAGCCCGCCGGCAAAGGTTCGTTTCATGTTTCGCAACCTTGGAGCTTATCCTCTGATCCCGGTCCTTATTTGGGCGAGTTTTCCTGTTTTGGCCCTCAAAATGGCTCATTCCCCTCTCAGGATTGCTTGGCATTCAGGAACCAATGCTACTACCGCATAGTTGACAAAGCACTGCCACCTTTGCCGCTTGAACCATGGCTGATGGTGATTGGCTATAATGTTAGCCGTGTTTTCGTCGAGGATCGCCAGACGGCACTCTCCAAGTGGACAATAGCATGCGTTGCCGCATCCCTTAGGATCATCAAGTTAGCAAGACGGATTGGCATTTTGCTTTTTACGTGTTTTCTTTTATTAATAGTATTGTGGGAGAAACTTCACTGCCGATATTACCATGTAAGACGGTTCAAGACGCTTCCCACAACCAAGCATCGTTCAAGAGGAATGTTTGTCACTAATCGACCATCCCATCTCGACATCCTACCCGCAAGACGTAAATAGCCAGCGCAAATAAGACGGGCCAGACCCATAATACTAGTGCAGGAACCTGTCTGGATCTCGTATTGACCACCACAGGGGATAGATGGAGATGCGGAGTCGACAAGACGATGGCATTCGATAGCCAGACTACATCAGCAACAAGTTGCCAGTCTGTAAAAGAAATAACCATGGCAGCCATGGACCACCCGGAATACAGCAGCTTTATCTACACCAAAAACATCATCGAAACAACCTCAGCCTTCACACAACTCGGCCGTCGAAACCGCCCACGCTGGCCACCCGGTAAAGGCACACCTAAACGAATGACATGGCCTCGAGGCCCTTCGCCACACGGGACTTCGACGCCGGCAAATTCAGCAGCGGCTTCTTCTTCATCATCGTCCCGGTGGTGATTCTCCTCATTGCCGGTGTGGCATCCTCGGCGGTCCGGTACGCGCGGCGGTCACGGCGACGGCGGGCGACAACGGCCGACGACGCCTTCACCACGGACCGGCCAGACCATCGGCCCCCGAGCACCATCCACCCGTCCCTCATCACGCAACTGCAGAACCTGTCGCCGGAGCCCTACGCGCTGTCGTCCTACCCGTCGCAGCGGACGCTGGACGAGAGTCACGAGGTCGTGACGCCATTGCAGAGTGTCCAGCTCCGGGAGCCCTACGAACGGCGGCATTACGCTGCGGAAAGAAGCCCGTCTGGCTTGTCTCTATAAATTTGGGAGTTGTTTTGCAGAGGATGTCATGGACAGAGGCCGGGATGGCATTTTCACAATGCTGCGTGTAACTAAATGGCGGGATGGAACTCTGGGCTTCATTGTACATTAGCATATCCGAGGTAAACGAATGTGATGTGGGACTCATGTATTTTTTGTCAATTTTTTTTTCTATTCATCATGTACATTTAGCAGATTTAGGACAAGGCCAGAAACTTGTACCCCTAAGCTATACCAGCTACTTTCCAGCTCCAACATCGCCAGCAGACCAACTCGTCCGAATGAAGGTCTCTCCGTCCTGGAGCCCATTCTGCCGTCAATGGTATGGGAATGCAGGCTGATGTCGATCAAGGGTACTCGGCCCAGGTGCCAGGTACAGGACGAGCCCCGGATCGGTGCTGCCCAGCACAGTCAAGTGGCCCTTGTCGCCTCCGCCTGGCGACATCCGTCCATGATTCCATGTCGGCGGTGGACGGGGCCGACGTCCTCGGGGGGTGGCTGACAGCACGACCTGAAACCCACGACTGGGGCACTGCGGCTTCCCGATGAAGAAAATCGGGGTGCCCTCGCCGTCTGCCACCGTCGCCTTGGCCATGACCTTGACGTGTCTGGTCTGGTGGATATATCGCGCCTTTATATTGGCGAGCATGGCGGCAGCGTGCAGCACCGGCATGGCCCGTCCCCTCCAGCGCTCTGGACAGTTGCGACGACGGCGTTGACCTCACGTCGTCTTTTGAACTTGTCGGGGCGACGACCCGGCCGGGCTGTACCACATGCACTGAGTCGGAACATTCGCCGCTGCTGGGTGTGCTGAATCATGACCTTCAAGTCTGCGCCTCCGCGATGCAACGGGGGCACTTGGGCGTTCTCGCCACGTCATTGGTCATCTTTCAATGTGGGATGATGGACGCCTAGGAGGAGACTCTTCATGACCGGAGAGGGTTGTGATGTGAGAAGCTATTCGGTGTTTGCTCTGGCCGTTGGGAGTTGTACTTGTCGCATCGTGAAGGAACACCAGCCAAGCACGAATTTCACGCCATGTGAATTCCATTTTTGCGCTCGGAAAAGTATAAACTTTATGTTAAATGAGTTTCTTCCGGGTAGTTGAGCATTGATCAAGCAGTCACATTGAGAGGTCGTTGAACGCTTCCCGCGGCGAGACACGGCCATGGAATAAGTCGACGGCATAGACGAACATGTGCGCCTGCTGTGTGCCACAAGATTAGTCCTATCTCCTAAAATACGACGACTGCAATCCTAACATTAGTAAGCACCTCATCGCCCGCTGCGAGACGTTGTATCTTCCCCAGCACTTCTACTTACGGTTCCAATTTGTGCGCCAGCAAGGCGGAATACAGCAACACAGTCCCAAATCGGCAAACAAGGACAGTTTTCAGATACGCGTGGCCCTTTAAGGAAGAGCGAATGCATCAAGATACACAGTGGCATAGCCGTTTCCATCTTCCATGTCTGCATTCCAGAACAAGAGCCTGGAAAGCAATGTTCCTCCAACGCAACTAGTATGCCTCGAGGGCGACATCATGTCCCACTCGATGCCAGTCCCGGAAATAGCAATTTCCCATGTCGCATATTTAGCTCCAAGCATCTTTGGCTGCTGCTTGCCAGCATCGCAAGGGCCCAGATCTCGGGGAAAGTGAGATATCGGATCGTCTGCGTCCTCGGTCCCACTGGCCAATGTATTCGCTACCGCGTTAACCATGTTCGATAAAGTACAATCATCCCGTCTCTACGTGGAGCTGCAGCTAGATAAGTTTGGTTCGGTAGGGGGGGTGAACGGCCAGAACCGCGGTCATGCCGTGTTCCAAAGACTGTCACTGTGAGTCCATCACAAATGACTCGTCATTTATGCCGGGCCGGAAAGGGATCGTGGTGTCTGCGGAGTAACTACAGCGGAAACTAGGTGGCTTCATGTCATCAGAAGTGGATATGCGAGGCAGCAACCGGGAACTAGACTGACGAGCGTAGACCGGGGGGGAAGATGGTTGCGAAGGGGGTTCTCGATGGGGTTCATGAATATGTTGGCGGGCTGCCGTAGCGAGAGTTTTCCGAGGCCCTCATGTCGGCTTGTTGTCTAGTCAGTATCAATCCGCTGCGAAACACTGGAAGAAAGTTTCACGAAAAGTTTGTGATGGTGAGGGCCGCCGCCTTGTAAGCCCCCAAGGGAGACATTCGAGTAGGGGTGAGATACACGACGCCTTGCGCATTTTTACATCATGGCAACGGGTTTGTGTTCAGTTCCGACGCTAGATACAGCTACGAGAGGGCCTTGATGCACCCCGTCTACAACGCAACGTGCCCGTGCACTCGGCAACAAGTTCTGAATGTTGGATATATACAGCTTGCTACATATGGAGGGCTTCCATACTATCGACAAGTGATGTCGCTTCATCGTGCAACACCATCACAGCTTGCTCTTTGACGTTAGCTGCTCATGCCCATTATACAACTTCTCCAGCCCCCTCCTCAGTTCGGGAGCCATGCCCGTCTTTGAAGGTCTACCTGTTGATCTCTCGACAAATACATGTACAAAGTCACAGACAGCCTTTACTCCCTCGACACCCTTTTCGAATACGGCTAGCTCAAAGGTGACACTCGAGTTGCCAAGCTTGGCCACACGAACACCCACCTCGGCCACGGCGGGATACGCAATGGACGAGTAGAAGTTGGTGCTCGTGTGGGCAACAAGCGGGTGGTACGGCGAGTTCGGGGGGTGGATGCCGCAGTATTCCATGAGGTACGCATTCGCGGCGGAGTCGAACCTAACATTGTGTGAGCCGGGTCTGCTGACATCGTGAGGAATGTTGCCTGTGCGACGTGGCGGGAGCTTACAAGAAGTTGTAGACGGAATTATTCATGTGGTCGTACATGTCGTTGTCGTTCCTACAAAAGCGCAGTGGTGTTAGCATTTGGAAAGAAACCCCATCATCCGAGGGTCCGGAAACGATAGAGGTTGTACAAGCCAGTTTATGAGATTTTATATATTTGCGAGCACCGGGTACGGCAAATAGTAAAATAATAGGACAAAACCAGCGGCTGAAACTAAGATGCCAGGAGAAGGGGGTGCAAAGTCAATGGATGTATCCTTTGGAATGGATACAATTAAATACATGGTGCCCATGAATGCGGCGCGCATAAAACCTACCATCGTGTTCGGTAATCCAAAATGTAAGGATAGTCTGCCCTCGTACGCGCCTTCTTGTCTGCTGAAGGGGCCATGGCTGCGAGACGGAGATGGTGAGAGGCCAAGCCCAGGCGGAGGACACTGGTGATTCTCGACCACGACGCAAGCGATGTGAGACAAACGCGTTGGCAGGGTAGAGAGGCGCGGGGGTCTTGCGGATAATCAATTGATGGTAGCAGGCGCACTGGTGCCGCTCCAATGTCCTCGTATACGACAACCTTTGGTGGTGGTTTGAAACGTCAGCGTTGATGAAAAGCTCACCAGACGGGTTGTGATTCTGTGAATAGCACGAGCCGAGGTCCAGACCCCGATGGCATGCTGTGCCGTGTGCACTGACTGTGGGGAAGGAGCGCTGTGAGTTCTTTCCTACCCAGGTAGGGACACATGCATTTAGTCTCCACCCTCGACTGACAACGGCTATAGGGTACGTGCAAGAACTGAACGTTGTATGCAATGAATAATTACAAGTCGATCAACTGCTCTGTAGTTGCCTGAATCGGAAATGAAGCGGTAGAATCCACACAAGGATCCTTTCACAAGGGACAAAATTACTTCAAATTCAAGTTGAAAGACAAAAGACAACGTGTTCCCTAACCAAAACTGATCAAACTACACGCTTCTCCCCCCTCCTTCGACAACTTCACCAACCAGCATCAGCTACTCGTCTTTCATCAATCAATACGAGGCACAGAAAACTCACGTGTTATTATATCCTGGAATATTTCATCCATATAGTACAGGGACGAAATGTGCCCTCCAGGAATAGTCTTTGCCCTGGCGCTCTTGTAATTCGCCACCAGCCACTTGTTTGTAGCCCCCCCGATATGGTCCTTGTCCGAGCCAACAACAAGCACAGGCTTCGAGGCGTGCTCGTCATCCAGCCTCGCCGGTTCGAATCCCCAGTCCGCATGAATCACGTCCGAAACCTCCATGAAGCCATCCCAGTTCTGGCAACACGTCACTGCTCCCCGCGCCATCCGCCGAATAAACTCGTCCTCCGTCGTCCCCTTGCGCACGAGCCACTCGGCGTAGACCCTCCTCTCGTCGTCGTCCATCATGTCGAACAGCGTCTGCCGGAGAAACTCGCTGGCGCCTTCCTCCGTCTTCATCTTGGAGGCTATGGCTGAGCGGAAGGCCCGCTGCAGCAGGCGGAACGGAAGCAGCTGCGTCGGCGGTCCCACGGAGAACCAGTTGGCCCAGCTGAGGTGTTTGGCATGGTCCCTGTGGTACTTGAATGGGGAGAAGCCGGCCAGCAAGACGCAGCCGACTATCTTGCGGCCCGGTGGGAATAGGTCATATGACGCGCCGTACAGCATCTGGGCCGGGACGGTGCCGTAGGATCCGCCGGCCACATAGATCCGATCGTAGGCACCTGTGGGATAGAGGTGCGACAGCAGTGCCGTCATGTCGCTCGCAAGAGTTACGTGGTAAGGCATCTCGCTGTCCCGAGTGCTCGTGTTGCCGTTGCCGGCCAAGGTGGGAGCAATCCAATGTACTCCGAGTTTGCGGCACGGCTCTGGGACGTCGTGGGCTGTTCCAACGCTCATCACGCCACTGAAGAAGATGACAATTGTCCGTGAATCAGACGGTCCGTTGTGGGCGTACGCGAGTTGACGGCCCCCCGAGAGTTGGAGTATGTGTTCTTCGGCGCCCTTGCTCTTGCTGTACGCCGGGTTTGCCATGTTCGCGAGTGGAATGCCTCCGTCGGGGGGATTGGTAGTCATGGCGTGCATGATGTATTGCGAGTGCAAGTCCTGTACGCACGAAACAGTATCTTCACGATTTTGTCATGGGATAATCTAAATGGGCAGACCATGTTAGGTGGGAGGCCGCGCGGAGTAGTCACCAGGAAGTCTATTCAGCTGCCTGGACTAGCTGGGCTGCCTAGCCACGCGGCATATCTAGTGGCGTTTCTTGAACATCAAGACGACCGAATGTAACAGAGTAGGCGAGACATGAGTAGTCATGAACCAGAACATGATATAACAAGCAAGACAAAGTCTTTGTGTTTAAACACGGATACCAAGGCAATGGTTGACGATATCACGTACCCAGACTGATTAAGCTCAGGGCGGCTCAGGGCGGGTGGTCACAAATCTAACCCGGCTTAGGCAAATCGGCCAAGCCTGACGTTTCTGCCGCATCTGACCGCATTTTTTCTCGTGGTGCTCCCCTCCCCGTGCCTGACGGGCTTGGCCGGCAAGGAAGGGTCTGGCATTTCAGCGGGACGCCAGAGAAAAGCTGATCGATACGATTTACATCGACGGGGGATTGGCACAGGGCACCAGCTTTCCCCTGCGATGCTTCGAGCGGTTCTTGGCGCAGGCTGCTAAAACCTTGTCCCGCCCATGCTTGTAAGAGGAGCAGGCTCACGAGCTTTTGGGGCTTTTCTAAGAACATTCACCGCCATGTCTGCGACGGCAACCGACCCTTTGGTTGCGCCAACCGCGGAAACCGACGGACCAAAGTCTCTTACGGCTGCACAGATTGCCCAAGAGAAGGAAGAGTCGCGAAGAGCCGCTGCCCAAGCTAGAGGCATTGCGTCAAAGGTCGCGAGGGATCCTGACGGCACGACAATCACCCCAGTCAAAAGTATCTGGCCGCCTCCATACTATTTTGAAGACGACCTGCGGCGAGTACGGCCATACCACTGGACATACAATACATTCTGCAAGGAGAGATGGCGTGGAAGATCCTTGATCGAGATATTCGAATCCGAGTTTCGAGACCGACCCGCCGAGTATTACAGGACCTCCATGGAGAAGGGAGACATCTTTGTCAATGGGACCAGAGTCGGACCTGACTACATTCTTCGAAATGGTGACTTGATCTCACACACCTTGCACCGACACGAGCCCCCAGTTACGTCGGATCCTGTTGGCATCATCCACGAGGACGACGACATGATTGTCATCAACAAGCCCTCTGGAGTACCTGTGCACCCCGCAGGCCGATACAAGTTCAATTCAGTCTTGGAAATTATGAAGGCCGAGCGAGGGCAAGAGTTCATGCCATATCCGTGCAACAGGCTGGATCGGCTGACCAGCGGCATCATGTTTGTCGCAAAGAGCGTCAAGGCTGCGGAGGCATTGGGCAATCAGATCAAGTCACGGACAGTGAGGAAGGAATACATGGCCCGCGTCGTGGGGGAGTTTCCTGAGGGAGAGATTGTTTGTGACCAGCCCATCCTATCAATATCGCCGAAACTCGGCCTCAACCGTGTTCGGGCGGAAGGCAAAGCGGCACGGACGGTGTTCAAGCGTTTGGCATACTACCCGCCAAGGGGCGATGCAGAGGCAAACGGCCAACAGGGAGGAGTCCCAGAGCCTACAGACAAGGAACTGAGCAGGCTGCCCGCCGAGGAAGGCGACGAGTCCAACGGCAAGCCCTGGATAAACAAACGAGGATACTCCATTGTTCGGTGCCTTCCGGTGACGGGAAGAACGCATCAGATTCGAGTGCACCTACAGTATCTGGGACACCCCATCCAAAACGACCCGATATACGCAAACCAAAGAGTATGGGGCTTCAACCTAGGCCGGAACGATGCTGATGGCACTGTCAGTACGGACGAGGACGTCATCAGCAGATTGTCGCGCATGGGCAAGGAGGAAGTGGCTCAGGCAGTGGTTTACCACGACGAAATGCTGGACAAGTACGAGAAGAAGCGGGCGGAAAAGATGACTGGCGAAGTATGTGATGTATGCGCCACGCCATTATACTCCGATCCAGGAATGCACGAACTGTCACTGTGGCTTCACAGCTTGCGGTACGAAGATGCTGGTGGAGCCTGGTCATACAAGAGCCCTCTACCAAAATGGGCTCTTCCTCCAGAAGGCATGGCCGGGCCTACAACTGTCGGCGGTATGGATGAATTGGTAGAAGCCGTGAAGGATGATAATCCGGAAATTCACGGGATGCCTGGCGCGGAAATGGAAAGGAAACAATAGACCGACGAAAGAAAAAAACGGATAAAAAATTTCTGGAACTGATGTCAAACGATGCTGCCAATCTCACCATATGACGTAGCATTTCCGTCCTTCTTTGTCATGAATGGCCTGATGGTGATGGACTAAGCAACCGTAAGCAAGTGAGTCCAGACAGATGGTCTCGTCCTAGCCCTACACAGATAGTTTCTCACTAGACGGTTGAGCAACGGCAAAGCATTTGTGGCGCAAAAACCAAGAAGAGACGAAGCCAACCTAAAAAAGCCACCGGGGATTCTAGTCTCCATCACGAGACCCCATTGGATCGATACCGGAGGCGAAAACAAAGCAACGTCTACCAGAGGTGACGAAAGAAGGAAAAAATTAGAACAGAAACCAATGAATGGACAAATTACCATGGAATACATGCACACTCCGTCCATAGTGGGGACGCTTTCAGCTGATCGTGCATCTGACATCTTGCATCTCGACAGTCTAAAGAATTCACCGACGGACTAATGCAGCCCATCCCATCGGGTGGCGCGCTTGGGAAACTGTGCCGAGGAGCAGAGGGCATATCGGGACGGGATGTCATGGGCTCAACTCTGGCAGCCTTGGGCCATGCAGCGATCAGAATTCGCTAGTTGGGACGAGAGTTTGTGGTGTGGTGCGTCGGCATGGCCTTGGGCGGCAAGAGGCAAGAGGCAACATTAGAGCGCTTGCGAAAACATATCGGACGCTGAGAACGAGGCAATAGCTTGTTGGCGTACTTTGCGCAAGTTGACGAATCACAAATCTCGGGCCCGGAAAAGCCGCTCTGCGTCTTGAGGCATCCGGGACAGCGGACTTTGCTGGACAGATCGGGGGATGGTCGGTACGAGGCGGCCGAGGAATCCGAATACGCGATGACCAAGATGAAGATTCTGTCTCATCGGGCCCTGCGAGGGCTCAGCGACGGCCGTGGAGGTGGCGTCCGGAGCGCAAGTGATGCAACTGCATGTTGGGCGTACGCTTGAACGAACGAGGTGGTGCCGCCGGCGGAACGTTGAAGATGATGCTGGCCATGGGAATAGGGGAGGGAATAGGAGAATAGGTCCGATGCGGCGCATGCGTCTACTGGCCGGCCGGAGCAGGCGCAGCTGAGGAGGCACTGCCAGCTGCCAGTTGCTAGTGGCCAGCTACCAAACTGCTACATGTGCCAATGTGGCTGCCTGTTTTTCTGCGTCTTCCTTACGGCATGCAGCGGACATGGAGGCACGACGTTGCTCTGGCATGCTGCAATCCAGCCCAAGTGTGAGTAGCAACAACTGTGGCAGCTGTCGACCCAGTAGTGGCAGCACCACAAGGCTGGTTGCTCCTGCCTAAAGTCTGGTTCGCTCCGTCGCTACATGTACGAGCCAGTGGCAAAGGCGGCTAGCCCCCTGCACATGTCAACTGTCAGCCATGACCCGACTGGCCCTCCCAAGCCTTCAGCCCTCTACATCAGACACCACGCCCACCAAAAACTTCCGCCGGAAATTTTCTGCCATTCCGAGTCTTGCGGTCAGGCATGCTGCAGCCCATCTTTTGGTCTGGCAGGGCGAGGCAATCGCCGTTACAAGCCTTGCGAATGTTATCGGACGCATCCAACACCACGGGGAGGGACGACGCCAGATGATACCCCTCAAGCTCCAGCTCAAACCAAATCTCACATCGCCTTCGCCGACAAACAGTGGAACTCCATGTTCTTTAATTCTCCTTGTTGTCTTGGCAAGGGTCCAGATGGATGCTTCGGCCAACATGTACCAGTCAGTTGCATCACGCCCTTCGCGATGCCCGCATGAACAGTACCGTAACAATACTAGCCAGCATGTCCGCATCCACCGATCGCTGCATGGGAGATCCAGCGTCACTGGTACAGTACCGGGCCGGATGCAAGGGACTTCTATTTGCGTCGTTTCTTCTCATCATACTAACCAAGATTTGTCTGAAAGGCGGCATGGCCTGACCGACAGGGTTCCAGGGTTAGAAGCCATTGGGGAGCCTTGCACGCTACGAATGATTAAGATTATACAGTATCAAAGACCTAGAGTCAAGGCATAGTTAGTCAGTTTCATGAGCGGCAAAACCGTCCCGAATGGGTGGAAACGGCCTCGCTCGGTCTAAGACGATGTTTCAAGAACGACCGCAGTTGCTCCCGAGCACATGTACATACAAACCATCTCGTCGGCAGCTGTTGGTCCAAGTTTACAGCCCCAGACACATCGATACTGATACATCAAGGGGCGGCGCAGGGTCAGGGGGCGGCTGCGCTGAATGACGATGGAGAACATGGCGAGCGGCCATCGCTGGATGCACATAGTACCACCCATCAAATTTGGTAAGCAGCCTCTTGATGTTGTACGAATAGATTGCGCAAGTCGTCTTGGCATCGCGTGATGATTGAGGGCCGGCCTGATGATGGCTGTGCTGCGTTTGTACCAGAGTGGACGAACACCGGGGTTAAGTTTGGGTCGGCATCTCCGCAGAACCACCAACTCGATTTTCAAGGTAGCTATAAGGTGTAACTAACGACTGGTTGATTCCAGACAACGTGCCACGAGACAAACCGCTAACTTGGCTCATCAGGGTCTTGTTGGAGGAAAGACAGCCGCGAGGTGAGACCATGGTACGACGCGCATTCTTGTTCCAGTCTCGACGTTGGCGTACATACCGCGAATCTGCGTTGGCGTCCATTTCGATGCAGGGCACGTCGGAACCGGAACCTGCACTCAACCACGCCACAACATTGAAGCCGCGCAGCCAGCTGTGGCGGTGGT